TTCAAGAAAATGAGGAGGGGGGGTTCAATTAAATTTGAAGGAATTTGCTTAATAAGCATGGTATCCATTTGGTTGTAATTGCGACTAAATCATGGTGACTGGTGTGAAATAGTTTGGATTTATCTTGTCTTCTGTGTGCTGTATGCAAATCAGTCTTTACTGATTGCAGAGATAAATTGACAATGTATTATTACATCAGCTATCTTGATGTGGTTAAATACATTTAAGCAAGGTTAACGGCAAATGTACTATGCAGGCCACATCCACTGATGGGAGTCTGTGACATCATATCGATTAAAGGGGGTTGTTTCGCGCCTTGTGATCAGTGCTTCGGTCTGGGTATTCATACTGCCATTGTATGCTTTGCCTAGCTGCAGCAAGTTTAGCACTTAGATACCTTTCCTCTACCCATCCCACCCACCCATGTTTATTTTAGAGGATTTTATCTGGTAGTACGTCATTTTATTTTATATAATTTTTAATCTCACTAAAAATAGGATGTATAGACCACTATACACTATATTTTGTTTCCACTGACTTGTCAGTGTGACTGGTGCCGGAGGTATGCCTTGGCAGAATGTCCAGAATTGTCATGGCTATCTCCTTTTGCTGCTAATATTACTGATTGTTACTCTCATTGCTATGCAGCTGCTATGGCAATACTTTGTGCCATCAAATCTAGTTACAGCCTTGGACCACAAACGGCACCTGCCTCCAAACACTAATATTAATTCTCTGCCATTAAACATGGTTACAATCGCCCAGATCAAATGGAAACCTGATTTTAGAGTTATATATGAAAATACCCCTCTTTTATTTATAATTTTCTGCTAATATATATTTTTGGTCGACGTTAATATCTTGTCTGCTCCATATTCTTATTTAATTAATAATTAACATTATAACGCCTGGGTATCCCCATTTGTCGAGTAAAAATGAAAATGGGGGGGGGGTCAAAGAAAAATATTCTCATATGTAGAGGGGGCCAAAAATAATAATTTATTTAACCTGTAGAAGACTATAGTCTAGTGGCCAAAAGCTCGTCAAAATAATTTTTTTTGGTCAGAGAACGACTCCTTTTATTATGATATTTACGGTATTTGGTATTTTTTCAGGTAAAGAACAAGGAAGACACTTACATCAGCCAAATAGCATCTGAATGTTGGGATCCAGTGTTGGACAAATTATTGACGAATAAGCCAATTTGGACATAAAGCTGTGACTACTGGTCTGAGAACAACTCCTTTTATTATATTTATATTTAATTATGGTATTTACGGTATTTTTTCAGGTAAAGGACAAGGAGAACACTTTCATCAGATAAATAGCATCTAAATGTTGGGATCCAGTTTTGAACGAATTATTCACGAATAAGCCCATTTGGACATAAAGCTGTGACTACTAGTTAGTAACTGATAGTTGAGACACAGCTCGACTACCTAGCTGTTCTGCATAATTACTATATTACCAGTATAAGATTATTTTCACTAATACTCATGATACAAAACAAACAGCACAGCACAGTACATACACACCATTAACTTTTTCACCATCTGTTTCCATTTCTCAACTGCATACTAGATAAAAATAAAAATATTTCATGCTATATTGGTTTCGCACAGAATGTAAACAACAAATTGTCACTATGAAATTCAGAAATTGTGACAATTTACCTGAAATGAGCCCACAACTCATGGACTAAGCGGATACCTTTGTTGTCATGATTATCATCTAGCGCCTAAACAATAAACAAATGTTTTATAATTTTTACACGTAAAAATATAGTTTCTTCAGAATTCAGAGCGATTTTTTAAAGCTTTTTTGTTATTATATTTGAACATATCTGAACCCAAATGCCTGCCAAGTATAAAGGATATGAATTTTATGAGAAAGTTCTAAAGAAACCACGTTACATAGTGGCACCAATGGTCGATCAGTCCGAACTGCCTTGGCGAATTCTGAGCCGTAGGCACGGTTCTGAGTTGTGTTACTCTCCTATGTATCACGCCTCAGTGTTCTTGAGAGAGCCTACATATCGTAAAGCTGCTTTAGCCACTTGTGAAGAGGACAGACCACTTATTATACAGGTTTGACAGAAGGGTTAAAGATTTTTGTACATAGAAATCATCGAGTCATTCGAGCTGAAAAAAAATGCAACTATATATACTGTCACTGCCAGGAATTGAACCTGCGGCCTATGATTCCAGTGCAGCGCTCTAACCAACTGAGCTACAGAGTCCAGTTGTTGAGCTCCAACCACAAGTTCATGTATATATATATATACTAGGACTATTTTTCCTCCTCCCCCCCCTGAAAATAGTTTGGTCAACAAAATTTAAATTTTACACTAGAAATTTGTCTGACACCTCATCCCAATTTGTTATTGTGTGGCTATTTACATGACAAAATATTATACATGCATTATGTTTTTTTTTTTTACCAATTATCAACTGATACCGATTTAATAATGACGTCATGTCATTAACTTGCTTGCCAATAACAGCAGTTTGACAACCCATTTTCCACTTCACCACTAAATTTGCTTGCTGCCCGCACTTAATTACATTAAAACAATATTTTCAGTCCACTTTTTATACATTACTCTGATTCTCCAATTAACATACGAGACTCTTGTCCTGGACTAGGGTACATTTTGATTTACGTTGGACAAAGCTATAGTTCGGTTGGACACCAATACACTTGGTCAGACAAACATAAACCTTAGTTTCGCTTAGGTCCGGTGTCAGACAATTTCACGAATGAGTCAGACAATGTCTGTGATTGACCAATATTTTAAGGCCCGACTTATACATCTTCTTTTGTGTAGTTTTGTGCAAATGATGCAGAAACTCTTGTGAATGCAGCTTTGCTTGCAGAACCTCATTGTGATGCAATAGATTTAAACTTGGGATGTCCACAGGGTATTGCCAAGAGAGGTACTGTGTGCGTTAATGTCATTTGGTTCCCGATAGGACGATGTACACTACACAACTTTTGCATAAAACTGTTGCATGCAACCTGCTTACAACTTGAGTTGTACTGTGTCAATCAAGCACAGAACTCACCTACGACAACATAGACAAGTTGTGAGCATGATTTAGACAGTATAACTCGAGTTGTAAGCAGGTTGCATGTGACAGTTTCAGGCAAAAGTTGTGCAGTGTAAATTGGCCGTAAGAGATATTAACACATTTCCCCCTGAACTGCCCCATGTTAATAGTTATTAACAATATCTTAATATGTCTTGAGTAATATGATTCACTGTATGTGTGTTCTAGGACATTATGGAGCATTCCTGCAAGATGAGTGGGACCTAATAAGTAAAATTGGTAAATGATTTCCATTATTTTCTTCAAGATACAGTTCATATACAGTAGCTATCTGCATATTTTTATCAATTCCCTTGACAAGTAAAATCATCTGGCATTAGACAGAGCAAACAATCTGGTGGTGTTAGACATAGTAAAATCATCTGGGTATGCAGTCTGGGGTCTCTCAAATCTGCACTTTGAGGGAAGATTTAAACTTTTATACTCACTGTAAAATACTAAAGGTAATTTACTGTGTTTTCAGTAAGTTTGGCTGCCGAAAAATTATCAGTTCCTGTCACCTGTAAAATAAGAGTGTTCGAAGACATACAGAAGACGGTGGATTATGCAAAAATGTTAGAAAAGGCTGGCTGTCAGGTGATTAGATTGAATGTTTTTGAAAATAATTGTGAAGCTTGCGATATCCCATACGGTAGTGTACAAATGTACATATTTATGCTTTATCTTCTGACCTTTGTATCAAGACATATATTCTTTGGCAAAGTTTGTCATGTCAAATAAGAACCACCCCAATGGTTAGCTGATAAACCTATAGATCGGTGGGCGGACTGCATGTGTGACTGACTGGCTTACCGACCAACTGATCTAAACATTCCTAAGTTACACCACTGCATGCACATTATTATTCTTTGCATGCACTTTTTTGGCCAGGGTTTTTTATTCCTCAAACTATTTTCAACTCAAAATTCATTTTAAAGCTTTTAACAGTCCATGGAAGAACTAGAGAGCAGAAAAAAGAATTGAGTGGTCTAGCAAGTTGGGACCACATCAAGGCAGTCAAGTATGTTCTTTTGCTGGTGTTTTTATTGTCGTCATAAATTTGGAGAACATTGTCAATGTGGTTTGTTGTTGGTTTTCAGAGAGAATCTATCAATTCCAGTGTTTGCAAATGGCAATATTTTATATTTCAATGATGTTCAGAGATGTTTGGACTATACTGGAGTTGATGGAGTCATGACTGCTGGTAGGATTTAGTTTGGTTTCTTATCAAAATTCATGCGGCTAATCTAGCTAACAGAGTGACTGAATATCTGCAGTCAGTAAAGACTGAACTCAGCAATATGTGGATCTGGGTAGGCAAGATAATCTGCCATTAGACAGTCAAAGTAAAATAACAAGGAAAGGTGGTGCATCAGGGTGCAAGGCCATTGGAACTGATGTTCTAATAACTTTTTTTTTGTATACCCATTTCAGAAGGCAATCTACGTAACCCAGCTCTATTTACTGGTAATGAACCTCCAGCTTGGGAAATGACTGAACAGTACCTTGATTTAGTTGAACAATATCCTTGTGCACTCTCGGCTGTCCGAGCTCATCTCTTCAGACTATGGCATCATGGGTAAGATCATGGATCCCTAGTATATAAATGCAAAAATTGAAAAATTGAAGAAGTGCTATATTGTGTCAATTTATATATTAGGGGGTTGTGCACCACTCATGTTCACTGTGTGTATAATATTGACACTTGCCTCATGTCTCTACAGCTTATGTATTCACACTGACATCCGTGAGCGGTTAAGCAAAGCTGGATCACTGAGTGAAATGAGAACTATAAGTATTGATTTAAAACAAGCAGCACAGGTACAGACGATAAACACTTGTAAACATGATGCTAGCATAAAAATTTGGTTAACACTATACTAATATTTATAAGGAACAATAACTTTCCTTTTACGTTGGTAGGGACGCAACTACCTGAAAAATATAAGGAGAATTTCGACGTTTCGAGTGAAGGGCCATTCGTCTGGAGTTACTAGTGGGAGGAATGTAGTAACTCCAGACAAAGGGCCTTCGCTCAAAATGTCAAAATTCTCCTTATATATTTTCAGGTAGTTCCATCCCTATCAACAAAAGCTTGTTCGTTTGATTGGCACTACCTACACTGGCAAAGACAGTTCAAGAGATTATTTAATTACCTGTAGATAGATGTAAGCAACGTGTCAGAATCGCCACCACCAGGCAAAAAGCATTACTGGATTTGTCAACCATATATAAGGTACGGGGGATGCTAATAATCTCTTTCTGCAGCTGAGTCCTGGACATAGTCCTGAATTGAAAAGTTCTAACAAATATGGCAGATTGTTGAAGGCTTGTACTATAACCGGGGTGCCTCAGGCTTCCACCATATGACCCATGTCTGGACAAAATGCTCAAAGCACTGGGAGGAAGATAGTCACTCAACAATATTATGTGTACCCTCAATCTTCATTCATCACCATCACCACCATCATCATTACCATTATCATCACCATCATCATTGAGTTTAAGTTCTCCTTAAGGTGGTTCTGTCTTGGCAGGCAGAACCATACCAAGCAGTTACATAAAGCCTTACTCGCCCACCATCATGATGTAAGGGCCAACGCGCCACCTGTCCTACTATCTACATATTGACATTCAATCAAAGTGCGGTAATATGAGTTGGCCACAGCACTGAAAACTCTGGGAACGCGAATGCACTCATTGATATCATGCAATGGACGCGCTGTAATTTTATGCCTTAATTCGGTCTAGAACAAATGAGCCAAAGCCGGTTAAGAAAGAAGAAGATTGTGAGAACAAGGAAGGTGTGAGTAAGAAACAAATGAAAAGAATGTTAAAGAAACAACGGAAATTAGAACAACAACAGCAATCAACGCAAAGTAAGAACGTCTTACAGAAAATTTGGATATGGATAAACTCTGTTTTGCACTTCAATCATATTGGAGTACTTTGTTTTTTTGTCAAACTCAAAGTCATTATTTTCACCCTATTACAGTGAAAATACAAAAAGTGTCCCACTTCCGCTTCTGTAGTTTGTTGTGATTTACTGTAATTTGTTCTGTTTTTCTGTAGCGATTACCGATTTATCGGCAAATACCGCGATAAAACTTAGTTTTCTCTACTTTTTAAATATGATAATTTGTAGCAAAGGGAATTAATACATTTTTCGTTAGTTTCATTGCATAAAAGGTACGAAATTTAAATTTTATCGCAGTATTTGCCGATAAATCGGTAATCGCTACAGAAAAACAGAACAAATTACAGTAAATCACAACGAACTACAGAAGCGGAAGTGGGACACTTTTTGTATTTTCACTGTAAGTGTTTAGAAAACAAAGAAATACGCTAGTATGTTTCAATACGATTGAAGCGGAAAACAGGTTGTAAGAAGTACAAATATTAACTTAGTTAACTTTTGTGATGGATATCTTTATCAGTTCTGTTTAAGTCTGCTCTCGTTAAAACTGGAAGCCCTCTTGTCACATATGAGGCGGAACTAAAATCAGACAACTACGTACATACATGGAGAACAATTTTGATCTGACAGTGTTTTCTGACCACACAGGATCTTTCAAATGGGACAGATGTGAAAAATGCACAGTGAACCCAAAGGTTAGTCCACTGCAGTCAGGAGCAAACTGTTATTGGGAGGGTTCACACTACAGAAAGTTTAGCGTTGTAGCTATAGAAGCCTCAGATGAGCATTCTCCAAGTTTCATGAGAAGAATTTTTATCAAAGTTCTGAAATTTTTGGCGCTTAAGAAATAATATTTTGTAAAACACTTTTGAACTTTTTATAACCCCATCCCCCAGTTTTGAAATTGCGCTCGCTCCGTGTACATGCATACAAGTTAAGCCTGGTTCACACTATATAGCAATTCTGTTCGGCGATTTTTCTCCTCCTGGCAAATGTGATCAAATGAATGATATGCAAAAGACTTAGAATTGTTCACTTCTGAAAAGCGACTCTATACTTTTGTGTGGGAGTTCACTCATTTGCATCCGTCAGAAACACAAAATCGCCGACAAAATTGCTAGTGTGAACCAGGCTTTACAAGCATCAGTGAGTTGGTTTTGTCGCGATGTCAATACAACGGCAAACGATTATAATATTGAGTATGAAAAGAAGTACAATCCTGGATGAGGGAAATTATCTTATGATAATTTTGGGAACTGTCACTCCATACCTCTTAATGGCAAGTTTGGGAACTGACGCGGAAAACATATACGCAACCTAATAACCTCATAAAAAATTGACTGAGTTAAAAAAAATCACTTAAATGTTCGAATAACCACAAATCGAGTACTTCAAATAACAGAACAATTGAATTATCTTTTCAGGGACGAAAGTGTGCATACATGTTATGTCGTGCTTGTTGTCGTGAAAAGACATTTACAGAACATTTGAACTGTCGCAGCCATCGCTTCAAGTGTGATCAGAAACAGGAAACGAGAGAGATCGAAGTTGACATTAATAATGATACAAGGGATGGAAATAGGACGGAAGAATGTAGTTCTACTAGTGAACCTATTACATAAATGTGTTATATAAGACATACTGTATATGCATGAACTGTGCTGTGCTAATATGTAAATTATCTTGCCCGCTTATCACGGGCAAAAAATTGAACTTCCATTGAGTTTTTGAATGTAAAAACTCTTAAGCCCTGAGCAAACTAGGAAACATTGTTTCCTTCCAATGTTTCGCCATGTTTCCAAGAGTGGGCAAACACTAGGAAACATTAGTGAGAAACATCAAATATTTCTGAATTCGCTAGGAAACATTTTTGCTTCCCGCGGGAAGCAAATTTTGTTTCCGCAACAATGTTTCCACGGGTGGGCAAACATGGAAACATTTGAGGAAACATCGAGAATCACAAATGTTTCCACAACAATGTTTCCTAGTTTGCCCAGGGCCTTACTTACCACTATTGGTTATTATCAGTGGTTATTATCAGTGGTTATTACAGATTTCCCATACGGTAAACTAGTAAAAACCATGATATTAATATTTACCATTGATGGTATTTTTTCCTGTGCACAGGAAAAATAGAATGGTGAATATTAAACATCATGATTTTTACTAATTTACATATGGGAAATCTATGATAACCACTGATAATAACCAATGGTAAGAATTCATGGTAAATCTTTAAAAACCATTCAAAAACCTATAAATGGAAATTAAATTTTTCCTGTGTATATTTTATGGTCTTTGCGCATTAATCATTGATGATAAAAAAACGAAACCCTTATTGTAGGCTTGAATGCGAAAAAGCTTAAGGTCAGAGCAGCCTCAAGAAACTCGCCAATTCACAGCGCATACATATTTCATCAATGTATTACCATAACAATATCATATCTAAGATCAAACTTGTGTAAAATATAAAATATTCATTGTCAAGATGTGAATACTACATCTAATTCGACTTTGATTTCTCGGCCAGTTTTTTCATATAAAATGCGAGCATTTTTTGCGTGGAATCTTTGCGAGTAAAGTCCATAAACGATTTAGTATCTTTCTGTCTTGCGTCAAGTAGTTTTTTCAAAGTTGGACCTCTTAGCCCCAATTTAGTCGCGCTCCTCGCCTCGCCTAGAAATGAAGAAGTTAGAGTGATTGTGACACAGTATGCGGCTAGTACATACGTCAGCTCTGCGATCGTTGATGACTGTTTTTTTGTTAAGTCAGTTTTGGCATTTGAAAATGTAGTTCTGGCATTTGAAAACTGAGTTTTGGCATTTGAAGACTGAGTTCTGGCATTTGAAAACTGAGTTTTGGCATTTGAAAACTGAGTTTTGGCATTTGAAAATTCAGTTTTGGCATTTGAAAGGGAGTTCTGGCAGTTGAAAAAGGAGTTCTGGCATTTGAAAATTCAGTTTTGGCATTTGAAAGGGAGTTCTGGCAGTTGAAAAAGGAGTTCTGGCATTTGGAAATTCAGTTTTGGCATTTAAAAGGGAGTTCTGGCAGTTGGAAAAAGGAGTTCTGGCATTTGAAAATGGAGTTTTGGCATTTGAAAATGGAGTTTTGGCATTGGAAAATGGAGTTCCGGCATTTGAAAACTGAGTTTTTGCATTTGAAAAGGAGTTCTGGCAATTGAAAAGGGAGTTTTGGCATTTGAAGGATACACAAATTGAATTTTATATGCGTTGACAAAAGGCAATGCAGATCTCACTGAAGTAAGTTTATCAATTACCAGGGCTCATATGGATCTGTCTGAAGAGTGATAGAGGTAATCTAGTACAATTACAGAATCTCAACTTTAGATTCCGACTTGCTCACATGTAGTTACTAATTTACTATTGTCCCACTCTATAAAAGCACAAAGTATAAATTTAGTACCTGATATAGCCAACCATTTCTGAATTTCATCCTTAGCTTCTGCCATTAAATTACTCTTCTCCACCACATGGTCAACCAGACCTATGTCGCCGGCGTCAGCACTGCTCAGCATTTTCCCCAGACACAGTAAATGTTCAGATTGACGATGACCAACAGTGTTGACTAGAGTGTCTTTGAACCTATGAGAAAATATGTAGTTCATCAAGTTTAGTTTAATTGAGTGTTGAATGAGTTAACCAGGCTACTTGATGTACTACTTGTTGTCTAACTGGTTATTTGTACTTTTTACTTGTACTTTATGTACTTTGATCATTTTGATGATTAAGTTGGTACATACTGAGTTTTGGGCTGCCAAGAGGTTCTGTTCTGCGGGGCATTGTGGGGGGCTCTATGACATCATAATTGTAAAACAAGGGAAGCTGTGTTTTACAATATATTTCTAGGATTTATATTCAGCCCTAACTCAGTTTGTATCAGCTCAAGTACATTGCATTAATCACTGGAATAAATTACACTAACTATAGCTTAAATTTTACATGCAAGGTACTTACCAATTTGGAGCAACAATTCCCTAAACAGAAAGCGGAAACTGGATATTAAGAAAACATAAATTTAACTTCTGTATGCTTACTAATCAAGTATTACATACCAGCTGTGTTTCATTTGGACCAATGGTGGCTCCCTCTGCCATGATTCTGTAATCACATGATATAGCTAGCAGACATCCACCAGCCGGTGCTGCTCCCTGTGGAAAAAATAGTCCGTAAACTTGTCTGCAAGATTGAAAATATGAATTTGTTTGCAATGGGCAAAAACAGCCGATTAGGCCTATTGCAAATACATACATTAACAGCGGCAACAGTGGCTAATCTTGAATCATAAAGTTTTAACCAAATGTTTTGAAATGATTCCCAGAACTGTTTCAATCTTCCTTCATCTCCTTTCATAAATTCAGTGATATCCAATCCAGCAGAGAAAATCTTAGGAAGCGCCTGGAAATATTTAGGCAAAGAAATGAAAGTTTGTCTGATAAATTGTCTGTGTCTGTACAAATGCAGCAAACGGATGGCAGTTTTATTTCATTTAAATTAATTCTGTCTACAGCCAGACGATTTTACTTGTTCAATGGGTTAAGTTTAGCATTACTTGAATTAAGGTTACTTACAGAAGTCAGAATCATTCCCTGACAAGCAGGATCAGCCTCAAGACCATCGATAACATTTGCAAGTTCCGTGAACATTTCCAGGCTAATAGAGTTCACTGGCTTTCTGTTCATTTCAACAACACTATAGCCATTCTCTTTTATAATATTCACAAAGGAAGGAGTTTCTGTTGACAGATTCGCACGATGCATGCAAAGAGACGTGGTTCTGACTGCAGAGTTGGAAACACGGCCCGGAAGAGAGCCTGAAAGGGAAGTGGTTTTCTGATTTCATTTCTAACACAAACGGATATGAAATTAAATTCTGAAATTTTAAATCTTTTCCAGTACTCCACTGGCATTCACCCCCCTGAAAATATTTAAAAACAGCAGATATTCAGGGGGGTCATGGCCTCTTCTAAGTGCATTGGCTAGGAACATGGCAAGTGCATTTTGACAATGAATCATTGCAAATCATGTTAGTATTTATTCTGTGCTACTAACAAATTACAATGCTCATACATTCACACTTGTACACACTTTACACTTACGTCTCTAGATATTTAATTGCCTATTGTCAGTATAAAACATTGGCAACAGTACAAATTCGGCTTAATTAATCAGCCATTAAATACAATACCCAGCACTATAGAGTTCTAGTTAACACTTTCTATTTATTCAACGACTTACCAATAGAAGTAAGTCGAGCGAAACATCTTGAAAGATTCAAAGCCATATTGGAAAGAGAATTTAAATTTCGAGCAGAACGACTTGACCTTTCATCCAGTCCCTCCAAGGACTCACTTTATTCAAGGTTTATCCTTAAAAACAGGACTTTTTAATTGTATTAAAAAGAATTTAAAAAACTACTCCAAGTACAGTAATCATATAAACTCTAAGTACTTGAATAAGATTTTTCTTGTAAATTGTACAATTTCTTAGTTTTATCTAGTTGATTTTCAGAGTCATTAATACAGTAATGTATTCACAGACCTAGAAATAATTTAAGGAATTGTGGAAAGACTAAGGAATTTTAGAACCCTTGGAAGGAATTCTTGAGTCTTGTGATTTGTGCGCACACGAAAATGGCGGAAAATATTCTGCGAGAAGCGAAAGAACTGTTTGAAAAACAGTTTAAAACCAAGCCTACGATTGCAGCTTTTGCACCGGGGAGGGTGAATTTAATTGGTGAACACACGGACTATAATGATGGATTTGTATTGCCGATGGTAAGAGGGTATAAAATGCGATAAGAATATTGAATTAAAGTTAGCCTATTAATCAGCAATTGGAATTTTGAAATGTACAAGCGTCGATATATCTAAAATGTAAGGCTAAAACAAATATTGGCGCGTTGATAGTTAGCGTATTTATAATTTTCATAATGTAAATGTAGTGAGTATTGAGTACAGTAATTAATTATTTAATTAGATTTTTATTTAATAAACGACAGTATTAAATGCAAGGTATTAAATAAAATTGTGCTCAAAATAAATAATAATTCGAAATTTCAGGCTACAAAATCCTTTGACAAACAAACAACAACACTTGCAGCTAAGGACAGGAATCTAGTCCGACCTGCGATCAGGCATTCTTGGGAGACCCTATTCTAACCCCTCTGCTCTAACCCCCTTCTCCCTAACCACTCTAACCCTACCCTAACCATTTCGCTAACCCTTTTCCTAACCCTATAGAGTTCATTAAAACTTTAAAGAAAAAAAATGTTTCCAAAAAACTAGAACTACTTTAGCAAAACCCGAACCACAACATCGCACATTACGGCCGCATGTCGTACTCACTGAGCTACAGAGAAGCTTGCTGATTACCAACGGAAAAAACCTTTTACATAGTGTTATATTTATAAATATCTAGGCCTGACTATTATTCCTGTCATTAGCTGCAAGTAACAACAACTAGAACTCATTGGTCTTTAAACATGCAGGAAATTTATATCAATTCCTTGTCTTAGGCTCTTAGTTTAGTGACAGTTATTGTTGGTAGCCCGGTAGATGGTCCCCAGTGCCAAATCGTAACCTCAGCTGACGGTGTTGATGAACCCAAACTTGTAACATTCGCTAACCACTCTGACGACACACCCCTTGCCCCTGCCAAACCATTTTGGGCCAATTATGTGAAAGGAGTCATCGCTAATTTTGGTTTCAAAACTCCATCATTCAATGCTGCCATTGCAACCACAGTACCACTAGGAGGTGGGTTATCGAGTTCGGCATCCCTTGAGGTTGCGACATGTATGTTCTTGGAGCAGTTATGTCCCGAGAGCAAGAACCGCAAACAGAAGGACAAGGCATTATTGTGCCAGAAAGCCGAACACGAGTTTGCAAACATGCCCTGTGGTATCATGGATCAATGTATATCAGTCATGGGACAAGAGGGCCATGCTCTCCTATTGGATTGCAGGTATTAGTGCATTTCAGTATTAACTAGTACAGGGTGCGATCATTCAAGATTTCTAGTCGTACCTGACTGGTACGCCAATGGTCGTTGCCGCGTACTTGCGCCAGAACAAACTCAGTACTCAATGTGTACTTAGTCTTTAAAATAAGGTTCATAAAGTACAGGTTTCTGAAAAGTATGTTCAGACTACGAGATAGCAAACGGAGTTTTGCTATTTGAAAAGGGAGTTTTGGTATTTGAAACGGGAGTTTTGCTATTTGAAAAGGGAGTTCTGCTATTTGAAAAGGGAGTTTTGCTATTTGAAAAGAGAGTTTTGCTATTTGAAAAGGGAGTTTTGCTATTTGAAAAGGGAGTTTTTCTATTTGAAAATGGTGTTTTGCTATTTCAAACAACCGACTCCAACGTTTCTTAGTGCCATCAGTGCAATCATGTTTCATGCCAAGACATCTCAGACACATGATATACCAACTAAATTATGGTATTGAATACCTTGGACTTGGAAAGGTCATGTGGTACCAGCAAAAAATAAGTACGCATATAGCAAGAGTTCCGCATACCTACGTGGTACGTGGCTGAAAACAAGGAAGTACCAGCCAGTAATATTGGCGTACCTCCGGTACGTAAGTACGCGAATTATCGCACCCTGTAGTACTGTGCAAGCTCCAGTTTTTCAGCTCTGGCCGCTATCAAATCTCGTATGGACTTTTTCCACAAAACAGGGAATGAAGTCTATAACTGGATTATGGCAGATATTATTCGGCTTAAATTTGTCCCCAAGCTAAGCTGATGTGATGCTGCAATGGTTTGAAATAACAGATATGACTTCAGATTATATGTAGATATAACAAATTCATTGTTACCATTATTTTTGTAACCATGCAATGCTAATTCTACGAAATTGTCACATTTCTTGTCATTCAGAGATCTCCCCTTGACGAGTAACATCTGTCTTTAGACAGGGTAACATAAAGTAGGGGACATTAGGTCAAATTGCAACTATAAAGGTACGCATTGACAAGCTGTTATGATGAACAATGGTCAAACAAACAGTGAATAAAATTGTCACCACGTCCAAAAGTCATCTGGCATCAGACACAATATGGGTGTGACTTAACAGTAAACGGCTATTTATCACAACTTTGTTCCACAATCTATGTTATATTGTATAGGTCAATAGAAACCCAAGCAGTTCCTTTATCCGACCCAAATGTTGCAGTTGTAGTCATCAATTCTAATGTCAAACACAACTTGTCAGACAGTGAATATCCAAAGAGGAGAAAACGCTGCGAAGATGCCGCAAAGATTCTTGGTCTGAAAAGTCTTCGAGATGCTTCAATGTCCCTATTAGAAGGCAAGGTTGCTTCCTATTTTAGGCTTCTGAAACTCCAAGTAAACTAGTCTTTGTTCATCATCCCTATTTCTCGGAATTCAATATTACTACACTACGGTTATAAGTATAAAGTATGCATGATATTATGCACCAAAAATCTCTCAATAGTATGCACCAAAAATCTCACAACTTGTCGACAAGATGTGTTCGAAACAGGTTTGTAGCAATGTTGTTATTTTATCAAGTTGCTACAAGGTTAAATTGCAGGACGATAAGAAGTTGTTGCGACAACTTGTAACAAGTCTACTGAGCTCAACAACCTTGTAGCAAGTCTTCAACAAACCGTTGACAACTTATCAACAAGCTGGAAACAAGCAGTGTGAACACATCCTGTTGACAAGTTGTTGGAACAGCACTGCTACAAATCTGCTGCAGGTTTGTTACAACTTGTGCGTTTTTACATGTGTAGTAGAGGTTTAAAATTTGCGACCCTGTGTCAATTGTTAAAACGAGTCTCAATTAATCGGTAAAATGAACAGTGAATTCCGAAATAATTGCTATAGCTTTACAACATTACTGTCAATTTTGGCATATTTCACTTTGCAGGCAAGAAATCAGAGCTTGATGACGTCACATACAGGCGTGCTCGTCACGTGATTACGGAGATACAAAGGACCCAAGACGCTGTGACAGCCCTACAGAAAAACGACTATGAACTATTTGGTAAATTAATGGTAGCGAGTCATAATTCCCTCAGGTAAAATACGTTCAAAAAATAGATCAATAATCAGCTGACACATAGTAATGTCACGTATTAATGCCCAATTATGAAATCAGATCTGCCGAAGTCCTTGATCTACTCTCTTGGAAACCTCTTAAGATGACATAATCACATAACCTCTTAACCTCGTAAGATGTGACCAGCACAAATTTATCTTCATAAAATCCTTGATTAACACCCATATCTTCCACTGAGCGTTGTGTTTTTCATTCTAGAGATGATTACGAAGTGAGTTGCAGCGAGTTAGATCAACTTGTCAAACTTGCTCTGGAGGTCGAGGGTGTATATGGATCAAGAATGACAGGAGGGGGTTTTGGGGGATGTACAGTGACCTTAGTAAAGAAATCTGCTGTAGAAAAGTTAACCGGACATATCAAGGTACACCACGTGATGCAGACTTTACTTTTCGTAACTTACATATACATACATTACATCCGGGCTTTTCAGTGACTGATTGCATCTACCTTGCTTATCTGATGTTTGTGATGTTACTCTGAGTGTGCATCCACACTGGGCAAGCTGAAAAGTTGACATTGGTTTGGGCCGTCTCACTCGATAGAACGTCTTTGTAGATGACCTTTGACTTTGTTTCATGTTGAACTGTACCTCACCGTGTCAAGGACAACTTACAGACGAACAAGTCAAACTTGGTTATCGTTCCATGTTTCACGCACCAATATAGATTAGGGTTAGGGGTTAGGTATTAGGGTTAGGTGTAAGGTTAGGGTGTGTATATATGTGTATGGAGGTATTCAGTTAACTTTTCAGTACACTATAATATCCATTACATAACGTTTACTATATTGGTGCGCGAAACATGGAACGATTACCTTTCACTTGTCAAGGGAAATTTGACAAAGAAGCTAAGCCCACGTAACTGCGCTACCACTAGCGCCGAAGTGGTTTCCTTTTTCTTTGTCAAATTCCCCTTGATTTTAAGACTTGACTTGGTCACGTTCGCTTATGTGGGCGATCAATGTCAAATAATCGTTCAGGGAATTTGTAGATGCATATGGAAATTCGATTACAGGCAGCCAGAGGGCCTATAGTTGAATTTTTCGCAACTGCTCCTGGTTAAGCTGGAGTAACACGAGCAACAAAATTGCTGCAACTTGCAACAAAATCTGATTTCAACGCATGTTAATTGAGAATGTTCACATATACATTACAAGTCACGAGGCAACATGTGTCAACATTTCTACTTAACATGCGTTTAAATCAGATTTTGTTGCAAGTTGCAGCAATTTTGTTGCCCGTATTACTACACCTTTAGGTCGAGTAAATGTATAAAAATTCCAAAAACTCGAAATTCCAAATTGTCATCATTATTCGACATTGATCGCCCACATAAGCGAACGTGACCAAGTCAAGTCTTAAAATCAAGGGGAATTTGACAAAGAAACAGGAAACCACTTCGGCGCTAATGGTAGCTCAGTTACGTGGGCTTAAGCTTCTTTGTCAAGTTTTGTCTGTGCGTTTTCCTTGCATTACACCAACACAGCAAATATCATGATTATTAGATTACACTGATATCGAAGGAACTAGACTCAGTTCCGAAATATCACATACTCGAACCGACCTGAGCATTGGGCTAGTATTCCAAAGGTCGTAGGTTCGATTCCCACCGTGGCAAGGTATATTTTTCAAGCTTGCCCGCGGTGTGGACTGTGGATATACACTCAGAGTAACATCACAAGCATCTTATTCACCTGAGTACATTACACCAACATAGCAAATATCAGAAGTCAATGTGTTATGTTTTTGTCTGAATTTGTGCACGGTCACGGTGTTTGAGCTCATTGTATTTTCGTATAATGAAGTAATCGTCAAATAGGGATAGCTGAGGTGAAAAGTGCAACCACGATCATACTATTTTAAATCAAGTTGAAATAAAGGATTTGTGCACGGTGAGGTATACAGTTCAAGTTTAACATCAAACAACAAAGGTCTTCTATTTTGTGGCTTGAAGTTTGCCAGGCTTCTAGACCATCATATGAATTTTAACAGACCATGAAAAAACACACGAGCCAAGATGCTCGTTCTTGTACGTGGCTTAATTCAGAAAAAAAACACGTCTCCACGTGATCTGTTACCCTGGTTCCAGAGGTTTAAAATAAACCTCTGGTTGAAAGCGGCAATTGATTCATCGAGCCGCGCCAATCAGTTTGAATTAGGGTCAGATCCTGACTCTGTCTCCTGATTGGATGATTGTATTTAAGCTCTCTGATTGGTTATAGATGTTTTATTTGAATCAATCAGAGAGCTTTAATACAATCATCCAATCAGGAGACAGAGTCAGGATCTGACCCTAATTCAAACTGATTGGCGCGGCTTGATGAATCAATTGCCGCTTTCAACCGGAGGTTTATTTTTCCTCTCCCCTTCGCAATGAAAATAATAAAAATAAACCTCTGGAACCAGGGTAGTGATCTGTGTGTAATGAAAGAAGTTTTAATTAAACTGTCTTTGTGTAAGGCTCTTAAGCCCTGCATGGGCAAACTAGGAAACATTGTTGCGGAAACATTGTTTCCTACCAATGTTTCGCCATGTTTCCCAGAGTGGGCAAACACTAGGAAACATTAGTGAGAAACATAGGGAAACATCAAATGTTTCTGAATTCGCTAGGAAACATTTTTGCTTCTCGGGAAGCAAATTGTGTTTCCGCAACAATGTTTCCACGGGTGGGAAAACAGGGAAACATTTGAGGAAACATCGAGAATCACAAATGTTTCCCGACAACAATGTTTCCTAGTTTGCCCAGGGCTTTAGACTTGTGCGGATATACACTCAGAAAATTATGTAGTAGTAAACTATCTTTGTTTGTTGTAGGCTGGCTACGACAAGGCAACAATTTATATCACAAGTCCAGCTTCAGGAGCAGGAATACTGACTGTGTGATAACATGTGTCAAACTAATTAATTTAATTAATATTGTTCTAATTAGTTAATTATTCTAATTGCATTCAATGAACGCAATATGTGTTATTAAACGTGCGCAAACACGCCATTTGGTTGTTGGGAAGCACGCTATAATTAAATGAATGATACACGTTAATTTAGACTCTTTCGTATATATGTACACGAACGATGATATTATTTAATTAAAATAATATGTGATGTATTTAGGCTTATGTGATATGCAAATAAAGCCTCATTCTGGCGTATGACAATTATTGCTGACGCCACATTCATTCAGTTTATGGCAAAATTTCTTTACACGTGTTAATATCATAGATATCTTATATACACTAGATAGTGCATCTAATTATTCTGCAATTCAAAAATTGAAGCCGTGATTGCAGACTCAGGATATTCCCATGAAATGAGAAGACTCGTATGTTTTCTATTTCTTAAACAGGGAACTTAAACATTAAGTTAAACCT